AGAGCTGAAATGGTATATCAGACTTGAACACAAGTGTGCAAATCAGCATGTTTTGAGGAAAATACAATTAATTTCGAGTCTGAATTTAGGCATGAATGAATACTATGTCTGCTAGTCTTGTCTTACCTTCCCGTCTGCAAAAGTATAAAAAGCCTTTCAGACACCAAATGGAGGCAAAATATTTTAGAATACTATTAAAGCAAGCTAATCTGGGCTGATTAAACTGGAACCATCTTTGAGGAGATAAACTTTAAAAGATAAATGTCATGCTCTGGTGCTTGGAAAGAAGTCATGCCTCTCTACTGTTTCCTTGTCCTGGAATTGGCAGATGTCTGCAATTTTAATGAACTTGAAATGTTCTTCATCTGAATATTGGAACCAAAGCTAAAGATGTAAATTAATTGCTAGAACGTCAGAGGTTGGTGTGTCTTGGGATACAACTGACTTTTTAAAAGTGACTTTCTTCGGAAAGCCAATGTTTAGTTTGGTGATGTGTTAGCTATCCTAATGAAGACACAGGAAATGTAAGTAAAAAGAGCAGCTATTTCAATACTGACTTTACAGCTTCATAGAAGGGATGCTTCTACCATGTTCATATAGATTTGTCTTCACTGAAAGAGAAAAGGGAATAAGCATAAAAATTCAGCAGTCTGACCCCTGTACTTTTTGCATTACGAGGTATCTTATAGGGGAAAAATCATAATTGGAATTAGAACGCTGAGTCTTCTGACAAAACATTCAGTGGGAACATCTTATACCCTTCTTTGAATTCTGGCTTCGAATTGAAATGAAGCTTTTAATGTGGTCTTGCAGCAGTAGTTCACCTAGATGTTTGAAAAATAACTTACTTTCCCAATCTTACAAAGAGATTCTAGGTGCTGTGAACTCTGTCAAAGGAAGAGATGTTTTTTTTGGAGGGGAAGGGGGAAGGACAGTGAAAGAGATCCATGACTTCAAAGTTTTGCGTTTGAAGTGGGCCTTCCTGTACTATTAAGAGCCAATAAAATTAGTTGACAGAACAATATTCACAGCCTGTATTCAAGGCTGTCCATAATGCCTTCTGTAAAGGAAGTAGTTTAAAGATTTTTGTTAGATCTTAATGGTATTGTTTTGCTCTTTGGAAAATTATTTGTTGAGATAGCTCTTAATTCAAGAATAAGAACATATTTTGGAATTTGGGTGTTTGTGAAGCTGGATTAGTACAAAATTTATCAGTCTATCTGATAAAGAATGAATAAATTACTGGTTTGAAATATTGTAGATGCAGACAGCATGTGAAATTTAAAAATAAAAAAGGCTAGTTTAAACTTTACAGCCAAAATAACTACTTTTCTTTGTAAACTCTGCAAGTACTCATCCTTAAGGAGTAAATGCTATAATTTTGAAGCACATGTATTTAAAAAACAAACAAGTAACATCAACAAGCAGGGGTGGGTGTGGAAATCCATGTTTATAAGGGTAAAAGAGAAATCATAATGATCAAATTTAAGCTCATCTGGTTTTGCCTTTTTTTGTTATTCCTCCTAGTTACTGAGTCGAAAGGATAAAGCCACCTTTGAAAAGCTGGAGTATGTTATGAGTAAAGAAGACAATTACAAAAGACTTAGAGATTATATCAGCAGCTTGAAGATGACTCCTTGTATTCCCTATTTAGGTAAGTTGAAGTATTTCTAGTGAGAAACACTGAAAAACATGCTTCTCCAGTGGTTACACAAATTAACACCGTCTTTTAAGCATTCATGAAACTATTTCAAGACTTCTGTAAAGCATCTATAACCACTAGTTGATTCTGGATACTCTCTATGTGGCAAAAGGTAACTTTACTAGCTTCAGAAAGAAAATATCTATTAAACATCACAAACATTTCAGGTTTTACATAGAGTTTCAGTTTTCTAGGAAATGATTTTCCCGTATGTTGTATAGATACTCTGAGTGACTTCTGGAGAAGTACTTAAACTTTTATGCTTGCTAGGACTCTTAAAGAGCTAAATGCTTGACTGTTACAGTAATGATGGCTTTTAATTTTTGAGAAGCTATAAATTGCTAACCTCTGAGATAAATAACTGTAGATCTTAGGGTTTGGAATATGGTAAAATCTGGAGATATTGCTGCATTTATTTATACTATGGTGACAATAGAAACTCAGTTCTTAGGACTGACTCAGCTTTATGGATAATTGTGAGTAAATTATATTCCTGTGTGTCTGAAAACTAGGCAAATGTGTTTAATATGTATTGGTTTTGTTACCAGTCTAATCTAGTGTTACTAAATGTGTCTCAGTTTAGTTCATGATCAGTGTGCTTTTTTTACATACCTTTTCATTGATATCATAAGATGTCAGTAGTCATATAAAATAATGTAAAAGTTTACCCAGCTTTTACCATTTCTGGAAAAAAATAGTTGATGATTTTGCAGATACAAGTTGATCTTACACCTAAAGTCAAGATGTCCTCCTGTGGTCACTAGGGTTTATTAAACTGTAATCTCTTTGTTCCTGAAGTTTAGTATATTCTTTACTCAGCTGGACTATTAACTTTTTCAAAATGCATAACTTGGCAGTTATTTTTATGCTGTGATCTATGTGTCTGTCACAATATTATTCCAGTGTATTCATAGCTTGATATGAGCAGCAATACCATCAGTGATGTTAGGATCTAGAATCATCCCTCTAAAATGCATATATTCAGGTTTTGTGAAACTGGGTGAATTTTACTGGCTTTATACTTAAATAGAAAAAAATACTTGTCTGTAGAGAGCTAAATAATCATTTTAATGATGAGTAGTCCTGTAGACCCTTCATTCTGTCTTCATTTTTTAACTTCCCAATTACATCTGTCCCAGAAACATCCATCACTTCCAATGTGACTTTAACAGCTGTTTATTTCCTGTATCTTCAAGTATTCTGATGTTTGTGCCTGGAATGGAAGAATCAGCATGAGCCTATTTTATCTGAAGTGCAGGTGTGAAAATTGCTGGTGTGTCATACTATCACATGCTACCCTGTTTGTTGAAATAGCTGTTAAAACTAGGCCTGAACTAAAAGGGGCAAAGAAACAGCCAAGCATAATGTAAATGGGATTAAACATGTCATTTTGTAACTTTCCTGTTATGTGTACACACACAGTGTATATACACACTCTATGTGGTTCTGAAATGCATTTTCTAGCTTTTCCAGATGCTTTTTACTTATATGCCATGATTTTTGAAATATGAAGCCAGACTCAGATTGTTTTCTTGTCCCAAGCCAGCCTGCTGTCAGCTTTATTTTTTTTAAATTTCATGATACTTTGACCCTTGCCGTTACGGTCTTCTGATACTTACTGCTGTACAGAGAGATCTTTATGCGTTGGTGTATTTCGTTTAAAAATACTGTCTTAATGCATACAAGTCTCTATTTAAAAAAAAAAGACGTGTTGGAAAACAGCGTTTCAAATTTTGTTCAGTTACAGATGTTTTCCTCAATAGAGTAGCAACTTTTTGTCTAACTTTTGTATTAGAATAAGCTTTGGGCTCGATTTGATAGTTTGTTGAAGTGAGATGTATATTTCTTTTCTGCTTAAAAAGAAAAAAATGCTCTTTGCTGTGACCCGCTGTAGTTAAAGAATATTTTGTGACCTGGTTTCATGTAATAGCAATTCCTCCTAGTGACATGACGAATGTCCTCAAGCTTTTTTTAAATCTCCAAAGGAATAGCAGATGCCCATTGGTGCACTCCATGTAAAATTAATTTTGTAAGTTTTAAATAAGTGGCAAAAAGAACAAAATTGCCTTGAAACTACGGTTGTGCTAAATCTGGATCTGTCTTGGAAGACTGGCGGTTGAGTCCAATTGTTCTCAGTTGATCAAAGCTTTATTCCCCAGTAAGACCTGAGTAGATCTGCAGGAGTATTATTTCTAAAATTTCCTTCCCAAGGCATTTTACAAATATAAGAATCATATGGAACAGAAGTAACTTAAGTTGTTTGTTTTACTTACTGTTTTAAGCTTCCTTAATGCTATAGGTTATAATTCCTGAAAGGCTTTTTTTCTGCTGTTAACTTCTGGTGTAAAATCATGTGCAGAAGTAGTGCTGCTCCTGGTTTAAAATGTGTAGAAAAATGGACCTGAAAGTATTCAGTTTGAAATTGTGATCGTGGAGTTTGTCGGCGAGGGGGATTGATTGCAAGATCCATTTACTGTCATGGTAAAAGAAGGGGTGAGGTGGGGCTTCCTTCACTGTTGTTGGGGAGACCCTGCAGTTGCTGTGCTCCCCTAAAATGCTCTTAGGAAGAGTGCAGAGCATTGAGCCTGCCACACAGTTACATTTGCCATTGCGGATCTCCTCCGGAGAAATACTGGCACTGGTCGTTGAAGGATCCTGTTTGGAAGGTCATGGGGAAAGTGAGCATTAAAGGAATTTCAGCTGCGGTTTCAAGGCCGAATGTTTTACCCCTCAGAGATTACTAGCTTTACCCTTACACAATCAAATCCGTAATGTGAGTGTGGAGTTTTTTTCCATCATCATCTTAGCATTGTGAGATAAAGCTGAAATGCTTTTTTTTTTTGCGTAGTATCTGCCATGGGAATAGAGCCACAGAAGTACAGATTGTTTTCTTATTACCACAGCTCGCTCTCTGTGGGCAAGATAAAGATGTCCTTCCACGTTTAACTGGGGGGGGAGTAAAAATACTTTTCAGTTCCTTGCAATAATTGTATGTGAATCCAGAGTTAGAGAAATGCAAGCAAGAGCAGCACATTGTCACTGTGGACTCAGTAACCTAAATGTGAGTGCTGTGAGCCATGAAACACCAATAAAAATGTTCAACATTAGGCCCTCATTACATGATGAGGGATGTATCATCACTCTTGCATCACCTGACCAACTGAGGTAGCCAAGACAAATGGGAGCTGTATATGTAATGTTACATTTCACCTTAGAATAAAAACACATTCTCAAAGGAAGTCTTATTATGGAGTTATGATTAATTTGAGATTGCACAATGAAACAATGGAGCCATATCTTGAGAAGTAAGATTTTTATTTAACTAAGCAGTACTACCTTGTGAAATATTTTCATATAGCTGTCTTTCAGGAATCATATCCAGAAACAGAAAAGCTGAAAACAGGGTATTGAAGTATTCATCTGATGAATATTCAGCTACTTTACTGATAATGCTTGCCATAGACTGGAAATACGTGTGAAAACCGTGTTTCAGGTTTAGCACAGGTTAAACTCTAAAGTTGTGCTTGGTGAAATCTGGACTGATAGTACGGGAATGGTGAAAGCTATATCCTTCACAGACAAACTGCTTCTGAATGTCCAGTGCAATAAGCTTGAGGGATGCTACAGCCTCTTTTGAAAGACTTTTCTTAAAAAAGTGTGAGAGAAAACATTTAAGCTTCTTAAGACGTTTACCCTGCTTAAAAAATTCAACCCAAAACCTAAGAACTGATAGAGTTACAAGCATTTGAAAGTAATAAATTATTGTACGGAGTATGAACCAACCTGAAAAAGAGACAGTATATGCTTTCCCTCCTTATAATCTTAAATGAGCAATTTAAAATTAAGTCTTTCCTTTCAGTGCACAGCATTTGTGCAATCTGAGCTTTCTCAGTGTATTTTGTCATAATGTTTAGTTAAGGCTGTCCTGCAGCTTTAAATTGGGGAAGAATCACTTTTTAGATGTCCGACCTGTAAGATGTGATATAAAAGCTGAGCGCAAGCTAACTTAGGGGTTTCTGCAAAGTACAGCTTTCACTGACTGCACTGAATAAACAAATACTGTTTTTGTAGCAGGCAAGAGATTCTTGTGGTAAAATAAGATCTGTCCCAAGGAGAGGAAATCTGTCGGTTGAATGAACTAAACGTGTCAAAGTGTTCATTAAATTGTTTTGGAGGACATTTGCAACTTTTAAACTTACCCAAACCGCTCTTCTATCCAGCTACCATAGAAAAAAGATAGATTTCAGATAGTCTGAATTTTAAATGTTTGCAATCAAAAAGCATTTTGTGGAACACTCAATCAATGAGGTCTGTATAATATTTGTAATAAACAGATATTCTCTTTATGAAGAACAATTTCAGAATTGTAATCTTATATATTTGTCAGTTAAAATTGTTGGAATTTGGGAATGGAATATGCTGGAACTGATTCCCCACCCACCAGCAAGTATTGTTGAAACTTGTTGGCTTTGATCTCTGACCGAAGATTTAACTACAACCCTTGCAGTCGTATATTATCAATGAAGCTTTATCTATACCAGAGGATGTGTTCTGAAAGCAGAATGCTGTTTTCTGTCCTCTGAATTACAAATGACGTTTTGCATAGCAATTGATATCGACTAATTTAACATAACAATATTAGATTATTCTTTTAGCTATTTGGGTTTCTTATGTTGTATAGGGACAAAGTTCCTTAAAAACCTGACTGCACATATGAGGTGCCAAACAAATACATTTGTTACAATTCAGAACAGTGTATTTATTTTTTGTGTAATAAGAAATTGTTAGCTGTGTGGCTAAGTACAATTATTAAATAGTTTTCTTTACTAGGAAGAGAGCTTTAGTTTTGGAGACTCTGGTATCTAAAGTGAGCATTTTTTTTCTTCTGATTTTTGCAAATATCTTGGTTTTATCCAGGATATTCTACAGCTGTTGTTAAAGGTTGGAAAAGTATTTTCTGATTAATTTATTGAGTACTAATTCCAGTGGAAACGTGATATCTAGAAAGTAGAAAATTTAATATAGACCGTGTCAAAAGTTGTATATGTGTAGGGGAAGTGAAATGTGTATGTCATAAGAGCGGTCCAAGTTTGGGGTGGCAGGGAGAATACACTCAGAAACTGATTTCTAACCTTTGTTTTACTGTGTCAGCAGAAAGCTGTGTTGGGGGAAAATCTCTATATTCAGAGACTAGATCCTTCTCTAAATTATTATGTGTGAACACTTGTTCAGACCTCATCATGTCTAATGGGGAGTCAAGTCATGATTTTAATATCGGGGCTTTTTGTTTTGCCATTTAAGTTCAAAGTATCAAGAAATATTTGTGTGTAGTTACGATGTTTGAATATGGGGGGTTGAAAGTAAAAAAAGTACTGAGCAAAATTTGGTTGCCTGCAGTTTATCAATAATTTCATACAATTATTTTTCTTTTTTTACATTAGGAACATTTTGCCTAATGTTTTACAGAAAGTATGATATGCAGATCTTAAGGAATTCTCTACACCACTAAGAAATGTTATATTTTGTTTAATTCATCACTTATCATTTTGAAATAATTATTTGTTGCAAAAAATCTTTCTGTTTTGGCAAAGCTAGAGTATCTTGAGTTTTTTGTGTAGCTTCTTGGAGTACATCTTAAACAGTAATGTGAATCCAGATTTTCATTGAAAGTAATACCAACAGTTTTAAATAAATTGTTAAATAGCTAAACCATTTTCACATTAGAGCAAGACAATGTCATTTCACATATTTACATTTAAGGATTGAGCTAACCTGAAAAAGAATAAGCTTTTTAAGTGAAAAAGCTTGTATCTTGTCATATATCTGGAATTTTTTACCATCTTTAATCACTGTTTACATAAAGTATGTTGGACTTGAACAAAGATAAATATGCTTTGCAAGCACAAACATCTGCTTTTGTGAATGTGTGTTTAAAAAAACACCGTCTGTCACAGTAGAAAAGGTTTTTAAAATAAGGAGCAGGGAACACAACAGGGAGGGGGGAAAGACAGGAGAACTGTAGACCTGCTTTTAGATTGTGCAAAATAATGATTAAAAAGTAATACTTTATTTTTCTGGAACTCAAGTGTTGAGAAGTTTATACGTGATCACTTGAGCGCTGTGGGATTTTCCTCCTCAGTCTATAGGCCTGATCATCATTTGAACTGCTTTCAAGGAGTAGGAACCTCCCCGGTACTCAGCCCAAAATATTCCATCCTGATACTTGCTCCTGTAGTGGCCTCCTCTGTACCACACCCCGTTGAGGTTAGAGTGGGCACATGCATTGTACCACCAGCCGCCTTTGTGGAAGTGAGCACAGTTTCCTGTGGAACAGAAAGAAATGGGTGATCTTCAAGATTAAAGAGGAAAACTGGAGATTATCAAAAGCTTTCATATTCTGGTTTATTCTTAGAGGGCACTTTGAAGTACTTCGTAGCCTGTTGTGGTCCATATCAATTGCTGCTTCTACCTAAATTGTAAATTATGTTGTAACAGCAACCATTCCCTGGAGGGAGGATTATTGACACCGTATTTAATGTGAGAGCTTGAAAACTAAGGAGATCAACTCTTCTCAGCCTACCAGCAGTGGTTGTCTGTGAGCTAACATTCAAGGAACTCGGATTATGTACTGTTTAGAAATACTTCAGTGGAAGCAATGTGAGTTGATACAGTCCCAAGCAGCACACAGGGCCACAATTCCACAAAGAGTTGCTGTAACTTGAGCATTTACTATTACAGGCTTGTTTAAGAGTTTGCAAGATTTGTCCAGCTTTATGGTTATTGACAGCTGAGAAAAAGCATTTTGAAATATTACACTCCCTAACCTTTCCTTTACTGCTAAGGCTGTAAGGGGAAAGCTCGAGGACGAGCATGGAAATGAAAAAAAAATTGAAGGAAACGGCATGATCAGCCTGTTTCTCAAGTATTGGTACATGACAAAGCCTGTGCACAACTGCAGTTCCTTTTATGCTGTTCAGAGGCTTTAATTCATGGTGATTATTGTTATGTGACCACAGCACTACTCTGGGAGATCACCTGGACAGGTATTCTGACTGCAGAGTCACGTGCAGGTGATAAAGATGTCATTAAGCTAAATATAACGCTTGCTCAAGTGTGCCTGCAATGAGGGCAATAGAATTTGAATTTCTGAATGGTGCAGGGGCTTGAAGGGAGCCCTGTCAACACGATTTTTATCAGTATTGATTTGAAGCATCTTTCAATAGAATTGTTTTATCAGAAGTTACATACTCTTCTGTACTATGTGCTTTTTTTAAAGGTGGTATCACTAATGCAATCTACTGTGTTCACTTTTTGCATACATACTAGTTTCCTTACCTGAATACATATCCCTGTCTCTGTCCAGTGTTGTGAATTGCTTTCCATTGTGCCATATCATGGAATCGCCTGCGTTTCCTTGGTACGTTCCTAAGCGTAGCCTGTAGAATTCGCTTTCGGGCTCCAGGCGGAAACTGCTGTATTCTGCATAGACTTTCTTATTGCTCCAGTCCTCTAACTCAATCAATAGTCTGTAATTATCCTGATTAGTAAGCATGTAAATATTTTCTAGTCCCAGCCAGTACTCTCCATCAATGTTGCCAAAGCCTTTCTGTACAAAAGAAGATCAGAAAATGATGTTAGCTTAGTTTTTCTTGTTTGTCAAGATGTTCATCAGCAGGAGTATTGTAAAGTGTATTGAAAGCCCTTAAGCTTCTGAATGATTGCTCAGCCCATGCATTTAAATACTTTTATTTTGCTTCACTTGGCCATTTACTGGGTTGGACTGCTAGCTGCAAGAGGTACTACAAGAAACAGAAAAGGTGGCAAAACTATGTTCTCTGTGATGTTCTCTTCTTTTTAAGATAGAGGGAGAATAGAGAAATTGAAACAATATATTTCTTGACAAAGCTATGGGAATCTTTTAGAATGTATGAATAATGAAATTTAAAGGGGTATATTTCCAGGTTGGAAAAGTTATTTATGGATCAGCAGTCTCAGTCTTCAAGGTAAATAAATTTGGTTGCCTTTTTAATGCAACTAGCGTTGGTTTTTGACTGCAAATTTGATTACGTAATTCATGTGTGCTCTTTATTAGATCTATTAGAAATGAAATATAAAGACATCTTTCCTTTCAAAACACAGACTACCAGTACGGTAGCTGTGAAGTGATATTTCATATCTGCTGTCTCCTGTCCCTGACTAAACCAGTGTTGTTAATGTTTGGTGTTGCAGCTAAGGTAGGTACATCACCCACTGTAGCTATCTGTTATGTTCCTAGTTTCTGAAATCTTCCTGCCCTCCTCAGGCCATGGAGTATCAACCTACAGTTGATTCCTTGCTTCATATCACTTTCTGTGAAAGTCTCCTTCCAGTAGATAAACAGTCTAGGCTCCTAACTCAAGCTGCAGTTTCACAAGTGACTAAAGTAGATCTAGCATCGTGCTGCTGCCAAAAATGGTAGCAGTGCTTTTCTCCTGGCTCACAGCCACATTGACAGTACTTCCCTTGTCTCAGTGCTGTAGCTCTGCGGCCACACAGAGATGGGGAAGGAAGTAGAAATGTGGGCATGGGAGATGTCTCTTTTGTCAGTGGTGCAGGCTTGAGTCTAAAGCTTGTCACAGAGGTGTACCTTCAAGTTAGGTAATAGGACTACCATCTTCAGCCACTGCAATTTAACGACCCACAGAGGTGTACCTTCAAGTACCTGCAGTTAGGTAATAGGACTACCATCTTCAGCCACTGCAATTTAACGACAAATCTCCTGGGGACAAATTTGCCTGAGCTTGAGCCATTATTAGACACTGGTTATACACTGTTCTCCATTTTCTTTGCATTATGTTTAAAATGTTTATGGTCTCTTTAAAACCAACCACCTACTTTTCTGAGAAGACTTTGATTAACTGCTATGAAGGTATTACTATTGTTTGAATCATTAAATTCCAAGAATTCAAAAAGTGAAAAATCCTCATAGTAATCTTTTTATCATTTGCATTGTATGGATAATGTTTTTAGATTACTGATTGAGTTAAATGTGGCTCAGTTCTCTCTTTGCATACAACACATGTGGCAATTGTAGATCTATTTAAAGCGAGCACTGCATCATAGGGGAAAAACCGTGTCCTATATATATAAGCCAGCACATTATTATTATTATTTAAATCAGTTTTGCTGTCCAGCATATAATTAGACCAAAGCATCGTGCATTTGTTGTCCTAGGCATTGTACCTGCCAGTGCATAGTATCACTATAACATACAAGAATGTGTTTCCCTTCACCAGCCATACATCTTCAGATTTCTAAATTAATTTTAAGAAATTCTTTCCTTTAATTCATTATTAGGAATTTTTTTAAGTTGAGGCCCTGATCCTGCAAATGTATTAATGTGCTTAAATTAATAATTCCACTGACTGAGATTGCTTATTCATAAGGGAGACAATTGAGCTTGTCAAGTACTTGCTGTAGCTCTCAGTGTGTTAATAAAAATCATATGTTTAGGTAGGTCTTTGTAATAAGTGACTTCCCAGTCACTGTCTGGAATAATGTGTGTCTCCCCAGTTGTGTTGTGCGTTACAAATGCAGGCTATTTCAACAATGAGTCAGTTCATACAAAGTTAAGTAATGCATTGAGTCAAATAGGACAATCCCACTGAAATACGTTTGCCTCTGAGGGATGAACAATCTTATCAATTATAATTGTTCATAAAATTAATTTCAGTGTCTAACTTAAGCAGCTATTTCTAGCTGCTCGGTGCTTGTCATCCAGTACAACCATTTGCAATGAAGAATTGCATTAGAAATGTTTGCATCTCCTTGATTGTCATGGATAATGTCACTGCCACACTGAAATGAAGCAGTGGATTTTCTGCATTCCATAATTTACCTTGTAACTGTCCCAGTTCCTGAAAAAGTTGACAGATCCATCTGTCCTCTTCTGAATAACTGCCCATCCTCCAGGGTCCAGGCTGTTCTCACACCATAGTTGCATTGGCTCATTACTATTTTCAGGTTTGATCATATAAATCCCACTGTTGGAATGCCCAGCTTCCTTGGCTTGTTGGCAGTCTTTGAATGGCCCTTTTTGAAAAGAAATACTGTAAGCATTCAAGCTTGGCTATGCAGTGACATTGTTCAAGTATATTTTATAATGCTAATGGAAGGTCAGTGATTCAATTGAGGTAAAACTACCATGGAAACCAGTGTAAAAAGTTACCGTCTTAGATTAACCGTGTACACATAAGTAAACATGCCAATATCCTATATATATGTTTTAAATAAAAACTTCATTTTGCTAAACAGTTAATAGACTTTGGTTACCAACACCTAATTTTTGACTTTTGTCTACTCTGCCAAAGATTTATACTCTGACTTGTGATGTTCAAGAAGTGCTTTATAATTTTCATTAACTATTTTCTCCTGTACCACTTTTAAAAAAGGTAGATGCCAGTTTACTTTGTTGTGTCCTAGTGTGCCCACTTCAAACTGGAAGCTTAAACCAGAACAAATCCAAGACACCCAAGCAAATCCCCCCACACACCTGAGTACATAAATAGTTTGAGAGCTGCTGTAAGAAATTTTTACTGCCAAAGTCTACAGATTCGGAATTTAGTGATAAATTATTTCTTATACTGCATAATTTTTTTGCCTTTATGTACTTAACCCAGTTCTAGGATGAGCCAGCTAACTGTGGGTAGGAATCTTTTTAAGTTTCGTGTGTCATCCTGGTGTGATATGTGTAGATGCATAGTGATGAAGAAAATAAGCAAGCAATGGAGAAGGACTTCGGAGCAGTTAAAAGGGCTCTCATACTTGTTTTCAGGGCTGTGATTCTCTAAAAATGCTGTTGCTGTTGACAGTACTGCTTGAAAGCTCTATTTTAGACCATGCAAATAGTGGTTTTACAAATAGTACTTAGAGAAGAGTATCTGGTTATAAGAAGCATGCAGCTTACATATCTCTGAAAACTTTGTCTAGTTTGCCTTTCAATTTTTAGTAATATTTTTATGTTCTACTTTTCAGAAAAGGATTTGTGTTTGTGTATCATTACTTCAGTTGATTTAGAGAGACTGGTCATTCACTAATGAAAAGCAGGATGTATTCAGATGACTCTTCAGTGGGGGATGCCCTAAATGTATCTGAAAACTCATACTCAGTGAATCTGAAAATAAAATTACCTACAGCTTTCCTCTAATTTTAGAAGGCTCGTTTTCTCAAATGTACTTGGAAATTCAGAGAAAACGCATCAGTACCAGAAGCAGCAAATATGCAAAGAAGCATAGAAGACAGCTGTTGGGGTTATTCTTTAATGAAAAGTTGAGGTCGAGTGAAAGTGACCTTCATTGCAGATTAAGGTTGCATGACAAAAGCAAATTGAAAGTCCTGCTTTTTTTAGATTGTAAAGTAGTAGTTGTCAGTTGGATAAATGAGGAATTCGCAAGAAATCCATAAAGCATTTCATGTGAATTACAGTACATAAACTTTGTGCATTTAATGAATGTGACTTCTTAGAGCTTCTGACTGTGACAGTGCTACCAAGAATGCTGCAGACATTGAGTCATCGTTGCCAAATACTGACGGTATGATATGCAGCAGTACTTACAATGGTTTTTGTCATTCTTGCAGTAGTAGCTTGGGAAAGAAATACTGTGGCTTTGGTATATGACTGCTTTTTCTCTTGTTCTCAATTAAAATTTCCACATAGTTTGTACACGGAAAGTGTACTCAGTTTCAAAGTCTGTTCAGTGGATAGATAATTTCCTGAACTAAGTTGGGTCTCGTTTCCTTTCCTTGAACTTTCAAAAGTAAATTTGGGTGCTGTATAATTGAACAGGAAGGATGGTCTAGAAGTATTATTGTAAAGCAATTGCATTAGAAAAAATGTAAACAGACAAGTAGTATTTTTTTGTAATGTTAACTGAATATTAAGAATAGCTCAATTATATCTACTGTGTGTTATTTCATATGATTTCTGCTGGAGGGGGAATTGAGGACTCATTTTCCCATGAGAGACCTAAGCAGATGTTTGGAGTGATCTTAATTAGCTTTTGCAGCAGACAGAATTGTACTAGACTGTTTATATAATACACTTTGATCACTTCTGAAATTCAGCTGGCGTTAAGGTCACAGGATGCAACTTGTCTGATTTTGGATGCTCAGATTTGTCTATGTGCTTATCCTAAGTTAATGCTGTAGTAGAGGTAACAGGCTTCTGCTCTTAGTGTAAGGAAATCCAACAAATCCTATAACTTTTGGTGTATAACCTTGAATCTTTTTTGAGAAGTAAATTCTTTGTTATATGTAATTATTTTAGGTTCAGGGTATAGGAACTGATCCATTTCTTATTCAGTGAAAAAGCTGAGATTTGTGAAACAGCATAAGATTCTCCACAGTGCTGGTGTGAGTGTTGACTCTGGCTAGTGAAAAAAGCATAATTACTCTGTTTAAAGTCGTTATCTGTATAAGGAATAAACATCTTGTGCATATCTAGTCTTTTTTAACAGACTGTGTACACAAAGTTGCCGAGACAATAAGTTATAAGTTAGAAATACTCTGGGAAGATGATATGTTGTAATGTTTCATTTCTAAAACTTGGGTTTAGATGTATGATTTAGTACAGATCATATTCTATAGGAAGTTAGATGTAGTAGAGGAGGAAAATGATGAAGTATTTTAAGTTGGAAGCTTAATTAAATGATGGCTGAACCCTATTTTAAGATGCTAAATTTTATCTTGAGCAGATGATAAAGAAGCTGTGCTTGTGTAAGCTTCAAGTAGAGAATTTTTTGGGCAGAAGGAAAATTCCAAAATAAAATTGGGCATATATTAAAGAAAGGATGTTACATTAACTGAGAGGTATTAGGAGCAGAGTTGGGGGGTGTGTGTGTAATTTTCAAGTACTCTACTTGAAACTACTTTTTGCAACATAGTGGCATTAAAATTCGGAACTGCTGGTTATTATTCCAAGGATTAAGATAACTTTTAAAACTAATTCACAGGAATATTATTCTTTCTCAGTTTTTAGAGCAATTTTTATGTGAATTAACCAACATACTCTTCAGAAAATATGATCTCATCCTTCTGTTCCGTACATGTTGTGAATTTTACTCCCCATTCACAATATTAAGATGCACATTGCCTCTTCTGTAAACTTCTGCTGCATGCAACTATTTGTTCTTCAGGTACAATAGGAGACAGCTCCTACTTGTTTGTTCAGTTGCTTACTCTGTCATAACCAAGTCTTTCACAGGCCTATTTCTAAATGGGACTGTTTGGCTTTCACTGATCTTTTTTGACATCTTTATGTGTTACAAATTGTCATCATCTTTTAGCTGGAAAGGTAATTTTTTATGACATAGACAGTTTTTTCTGTGGACCATTAAATACGCTTACCTTAGTTTAAAAAAACATCAGAGATAATAACTGGGAATAGTGTTGCAATTTAGAAGTTTTGGGTTTGATGATTAATGCTCTACCAGTTGTAGCATTTATCAACCTTCATTATCGCAAGGCACTGCAAGAAACACTTAAGCTTTAAACTCAAGAATCTAGTATTAAATAAAGGAAACTGACTAATGTTAAAATAAATTTCCTAGGATTTCTCTGTATTTCTTGCAAAAATGGATTAAAACTGAACTTTTAGGGGCAAAGGGATTAGGGAAAACCATGGTAGATAATTTAGAGAAAAATGTTTAGTCCTATTTTATTTTGTATGTACAGCAGGCATATACTGAGAAAAAGATGCAGGTATATCATAATCTTGAAGCATGGGTTTTCTGGGAAACAGGAAGTCACTGTTTTTTAGAATTATACTTTTTCTGCCTGACCAGACATTAACGTAATGCTTTTATATTAGCTGTTTCCTTTGTGTCATGATGTGCGATTTAAATTCTCGTGACATCTGGCATTTTACTTGGGCTTGTGCCTGAATTTTCTGCAGATCCTGAATAAAAATAGTTGTTCTTTAAAACAGTAGGTAGTTGTTTGTAATGCTGTAGAATAGTCACAAACAAATGTTTGTCTTCATCTTAGGAATCAAGTTGAACTTCCAGCTGTGACTAAAGGCAATTTGAAAGAAAAACAAACCCCCAAACAACAAACCAACAACTCAAACACAAAAAAATCCCAACCTAACCCTTTTGCTGTGAAAGATAACAGAAGCCAAGAGCAAGCGCTTGAATGGATGTCTGAGGAAAAACTTGGTTTTCTGAATCCTTAAAGTTTTTTATAATTACAATTTTCTCAAAATTTTAATGAATTGAGACCCACAATAGAATTCAGGGCTGTTCAGATGTAGCTAGTTTTCTTGTCACGAGTTCTGTTTCAGTGATGAATTAATTTATCTAATGACCTGAAGAATGTAACACATGATGTGATGTAGTCTTCTGAATGTATTTTCATAACATTTATGGTATTAGTTTAACTTGCCATCCCCTACTGACGTCAAATTATTGGGAACAGGGTTCTCATTTTAAATTTTCAAAGCTGAGTGCATCAAATTGGATCCAGCCTTGATTCACTTATCTTCCCAAACTTATCTTACTCTCCTGAATGTTTCAACCAAATACTTAGAGACTTATTGCACAATTGTGTTGATGGATTTAGATATTTGTTCTAAAGCAGCTCAGAATAGAAGGAGTAAAATTCTTCTAGCAGGATTAACTTCTGGCAAATGTATATGTGTAAGTATAAAGGATACCTACTTAAAATTACTTCATTTAAGATGAATTAGCTTTTTTTCACTATTGCTGGTTACTGTAACGTGGCTAATAGACACCTTCAAAGAAACAGGCCTAAATACTAGGAAGTATATGCTAATATTAAATTTTCATTCCCATAACTCAAACCTAGCTGGGAGACAGAAATCCCAATACTTTGTCATTTAAAGGCGTAAATTCTTCAGATTGAATTTCTGAGTATCAGCTATTTCAACAAATTCATCTTACACAGCTATAGCTTAAGAATTAGACTGTTTGGCAAATTAAAGTTTGTGGAGGGTCAGGGAGGGGGGAGGGAAAAAAATCAGAATCAGGAGCAAGGGCTAGCTCTACCAGACACTTTAAATTCATCATTCTATTTCTGTAGCCATGACAGTTTCCCTCTGAAATAGAGAAGTCTCAGGTTAAATAGTGATAGATAACTCACCCTCATTAATTAAAGCCAGTGGTGGTACTCTGAAAGGACTCTTTGTAGGAGAAGTAGCTGGATCGGGTGGTGGCCTTACATCTCTGTCTCTAGGGTAACCTGGATCTCGCTGTATCTCGTTACCTCCCAGAAGAACAGGGGTGTATGCCTGGCTGTTAGGAATGTGCTGTGGCACCACTTGAACAAGAGGTGGAGACCCATGGGTGTCCTGTCGTGAGAAGATTCTCAAGCACTGCTCTTCCAGCAGTGAGATAGTCACAGACTGATTATTTACAAGATCAGTTAGTGCTGCGTATTTTACTTCAAGCTCCTTGTATTTTGTGGCCATCTTCAACATTTCTGTTGTAACATTAAGGACTTTGTTTTCCAGTTGGGAAAGCTCAAGAGAGTTATCACGCTTTCGAATTATCTCATGCAAGAGTTGCATATAAAGTTGGGTCACCCTAGAGTTCATGTTACGGCTTTCTTTCCTCAGTAATTTTACTTCATTCACAATGTTTCCGTCCACGTCCACTACCAATTGCAAAATGTCAATCTCCCGCTTTTGCTTGGATAGGACATCCTTCAAGTTCTCTATGTCCATTCTTGTGACTTCGTCTTTTCTGTTACCAGTTCCTGGTCCATTAGTATTCACGCAAATTGGCCCTGTAATTTTTTGTTCTGGGACCAAGAACGTGTAACCACATTTCTTCCCTTCCTCTCCACCATCTGCTGAACGAGGGTGCCTCCGTTGGGATGTTTTATCAGGTGTAGATTGTTCTGTACAGCGCCCGATAGACAACAGGAGGAACAATAGTACACCCAAAGTCCATTTAAATATCTTCATTTTGATGCGAGTATGATGACTTGTCAGAAGACACTATTGAACAGGTAAAAGATAAATAATTAAATTAGAACTATAACTAAAGGCTTCCACACTGCTTGAACTACCTAAAATGATGGGTTTGCCATGCTTACAAGTATGTAGACAACTCTTTGGAATCTGTTACTTGAAGTTAGATTCCATTAGATTAGCTTCAAATAATAACTTTCTATCTTGAGCAGCAAACCTTAAAATTTAGATATTGGATTTAGTAGAAAAGTTGTTGCACCGGGTAAACTTTCAGAAGCAATGTTCTGCTTAGATTATCTATCATGATTTCATTAAAAATTTGACTGCTTAGATCTGCACTCACTGCAAGTAAATGCACAAGGTTATAGAACGTACAGAATGCTTGCAGAATGTCTTCATGGAAAGAAAGTAGGGAGACAGTGATGACTGATAGTAATTTCAAAAATATTTATATAAATTTTGGAATTTCGATTACATAAGCCTTTCTGGTGCTCTTTTATATTTACATATGTATAAATAGATGTTTAAATTGTTAAATACTATATATGTACCTGTTCATATATACACACATTTTTCAAATTAATATACACACAGATACAGCATATTTGAAAAATACAGACATATCTAACACTATTTTTGGACATTAGTGTTAGGCAGGAGTTTAGCATTAACATAGTTGTGTTAAACATTGAAAATTACATATTCAAGTAACTTTAAATTTGTAAGGAAAGCCTATAACACTGTTTGTTCTGTATTTGTGTCCCTACTTACTTGTCTTCTGAGATGAATACTTAAAATTGTTGTCACAAACATTTTTGTCCAAATAGCACACCCAATACCTTAGTGTTATCAATATAAATACCACACTGAAGTGTTTCACTCACCTTTAAAAGAAAATTTATTTCTTTTAACTTTGTGTAAAGAATTAAAATACAGTGATAAAGATCCAAAAATGTTTTTAGGGAACCTGGCGGTTTTTAGTGTTTATTTTTTTAAATATTTGAGATAATAAACAAAGGTAGCACTTAAATCTTGGGAAAAACCCCTCATTTTTCGTATCTTATTTGGTTTGTCAAGCAGATCACTCTTCCTTATCTCAGCTGTTGGTCTGGCTTTCCTTTCCAGACTGCTATTAGTGGTTGTACAAGGCCTTGTACAGTGGCCTTTGTATAGTTACAAAGAGAAATAAAGTAAAACTGGAGAAAGTTAATAGTTTTCATGCTGTTCCTGCCAAGTTTTAAATTTAAGTGCACTTGGCAATCCTGAAACAGTCCCTCTGAAGGAGAAGCAGACCAGTGCTGCTCCCTTTACATTCACATTTACAAATGGTAAGGTGACTTTTGTGTCAGGTCACTTCTTCCTGTTCTCTTACTGGCTTTAATATTATTGCTACAAATGTCTGCTCAACCTCAGAGTAAACATATGAAGTCTTTATTTTTTGACTTCGCTAAGAGCAGTGGTTACAAACTTCAAACCATGCTGTACATGCAGTCAGGAACTATATCTAGGAATCTTGATCAAATGTTCCACCATTGCTTGAAAAATACCTTTTTGTTTGACTGGCAGTTATATTGCAAGCCCTGCTTCTGCGAGGGGAAGAAAACACTTGCTTTTAACACATACTGAAAATAATTTCTTACCCTACATAAATTGAGGGAATACATAAAAGTTTGAGAATGTTTATATTGAAAAAACTATTTATGTATATTTTACTGTTAGTATGAAGTAGTAAGTGTTTTGTTGTCTGTTAGTAAATATTTTTCTTAAAACCAGAACTTGGTTAAATGTTTTGTTAATATTTCTCTGGTGAAAGTGTAACTTCTGCTTATTGGGTGTGGTGTTTTTTTTTTAAAAAAGTATCACTTTTCTCCAGAGCTAATTGTATGTATTTATTTAGTAATTTTAGACATTTAAATATTAATCACTTGAACAGTGCCCAGAGTTGGAAGTTCATTAGGTTAAATTTTCACATGAATTATGGTACACACATGTGAAACAGGTCTAAGTGTGCTTTCTAACTTGACGAGGATGAGCTGAACTAATTGTCTGAAGTTTGAAACCTCTTCACATCTAAATTATTTTTCAATACTTTTATGTTCAGTGTTTGCAGATGCAGGGAAAGTGAGTTCATGGCATATGGTTAAAGATGAAAGCGTAGTACAAGTCCAGTATTTTACTGTTTTCACAGTATATAATAGCTGCTTCATAGTCTAAAAAGGTGAATAATACTTTAGTTCTGGTAGTTTTTTACGACCCTATACAGTTACTTAAATAATGAATAGCTGGGGGGTTTCCCCACAGCAGCACATTTTTCCCCTGAAATACGTTAAAACTGAAATTAGTCTTTCAAAACCAAACATTTTGCAGTGTAGCGCACCTCATGCCTTTATTTTAATATTATATGTGTTAATTTTGAACTTTTACACTTATGTGTTAAAAGTTAGAAGTTCTGTGTCTATATATGTGCTGTCAGACCATAAAATGAATTAAATGGTCTAATATAGCATAACCAAATGCAACAGCTGCATAATATTATGCCCTAGAACTCAGAAATAGTTCAAATGTCTTGTATTAAGCTGAGACATTCAGATAAGCAGGGATGAGTTCCTTCTGAGAATCTATCTGGTAGGGATATATGCTTCCATGGAAATTTTGATGTTGAAAAAATTAAACATATTGCGATGTTTCTTGGCGTGTTGGTGCATCTTAATGCCTAACTTGTTATACAAGAATAGGTTCTGAATAAGATATTTACCTGGAGTTATAATCAGCTTAGAAGGAAATGAAAATACTGTTTCAGAAATTTCCTGATGTTCTGGGCAAGCAGCTTAAAAAAACATAAACTATTTATCCAAAATATCACAGAATGATAGCCTAATATGTAAGACTTAAAAATGACACATATTAGAGTTGGGAAGTAGTTTTAGAGGTGTTTTTTTTAATCAGACACATTATGTCCCAGATTCCCAGGTTTAGATGTGTAGGTAGTGTCATAATTGTTATGAGATAAAGTCATTGAGGCTCAGGGATCAATTTAGGCAGAACAACAGTCTCAAACCCTTCCTGCAAGTCTAGGGTTGCTTGTGGTGAGTGGGGCTGCTGAAATACCTCAATGCAGACCTTGGAAAATAAGTGAGAGGGATTGTGATTGCAGATACTATTGCTTTAAAATACATTATTTAACTCTTTATGAACTATCATGTTTTTTAAATTAGAATAGACTGTTGTTTCACTTGGTTCTGTTGTGTTTCTGTGTCACCTAGTTTTGGGTCTCAGATTTCCATAGAAGTTGCATTCTGTATGTTCCGGTATGCTAATGTTTTACTGCTGCTGCAGGAGAAAATGTGCAATTTGCTACTATTCATAGCAACACAAACTTCATCATCTTGTCAGAAATACTCAATGCTGTGGATAGAGCTTCAATACCATTTTACATTTAGTACCATTCCTTTTTCTTCTGATTTTTTTCTTTTTCTAGACTGATCCCCATGCAAAAAAAAAGCTTTTTTCCAAAATTGGTCTTTGATTTGTTATTGAAAAAACTTTTTTTCCAAAATTGGTCTTTGATTTGTTATTTTAAAAGTGTTCCAAAAATTCCAATTTAAAAGAGCAAAATAAACCAGTAACTGTCATTTTCAACTCTGAGAAAATACTGTAACATGGGCTGTGTTAACGCCAAAAAATATTGTATTGCTTACAAATGTTAGAGTTGCAGGAATGAGGAAGTGTGGAAGCTAGTGTATATTCGGTGGTTTTTAACTTTCTATACAACAAACTATTTGTTCTTTGTTGTACTGCTGTGACTCACATTCAGCAGGATGCAGGATTTGGAGACCCATAACACAGACTAGAATCTGTTCTTTCCGAGCTGCCAAAGGCTGCTTCTCCCTGGGTTCTTACAACTGAATGTAAGGGAGGTGTTGCAGATAAATGTGGATATAGGATTCTCTTTGTGTGGAGAGTGCAGTATCTGTATGTATCTTTATTAAGAATATTTAGTAAAAGAATATGATCAAATGATAAATACCAACAGTGCCCCCTCTTATAAATCTCCATTTATAAACATATAAAACAATGAAGAGAAACACAGGGTTTTATTGGGAAAGTGATAATACTGAGAATAAAGATCCTCTGAACATGATACCAGTTATCTGAAAGATTTAACAAAATTCCAATTTAAAAGAGCAAAATAAACCAGTAACTGTCATTTTCAACTCTGAGAAAATACTGTAACATGGGCTGTGTTAACGCCAAAAAATATTGTATTGCTTACAAATGTTAGAGTTGCAGGAATGAGGAAGTGTGGAAGCTAGTGTATATTCGGTGGTTTTTAACTTTCTATACAACAAACTATTTGTTCTTTGTTGTACTGCTGTGACTCACATTCAGCAGGATGCAGGATTTGGAGACCCATAACACAGACTAGAATCTGTTCTTTCCGAGCTGCCAAAGGCTGCTTCTCCCTGGGTTCTTACAACTGAATGTAAGGGAGGTGTTGCAGATAAATGTGGATATAGGATTCTCTTTGTGTGGAGAGTGCAGTATCTGTATGTATCTTTATTAAGAATATTTAGTAAAAGAATATGATCAAATGATAAATACCAACAGTGCCCCCTCTTATAAATCTCCATTTATAAACATATAAAACAATGAAGAGAAACACAGGGTTTTATTGGGAAAGTGATAATACTGAGAATAAAGATCCTCTGAACATGATACCAGTTATCTGAAAGTTCTGTTATTGATGCTACGTGTACTTCATTTTCTCTCAAGCTCTGTCTAAGCAGCTAAAATCAATACAACCATCTAGATTCTCCTATCGCTACACAGAGCAAGTGGAGACTTTTGTGGATTTTTTTAGCTTAAAACTGGATTCATAATGTTAGAAGTAATACTGATGTGGGGAAACTCTCTTAATACAGGAGAGGTGTTCACATGAATTTTTGATATATCTTTGTACTACAGTAAGTTGCTTTACTCTGTGTAAACAAATGCTTTTCCGGTAAGTCACTCTGCCTTTGCTGAAATAACAGGATTAGTTTCAATTGTATTGACTGGGATCCAGGAATAATACATTCTCGGGTTTTGTTAGTCCCGATACATGATGGATTGAGTCAGAGAATTCTGTTTCTCTGAGGTTACCAGGAATCTGATTCCTTTTAGGAAAGGCAATCTAAAAATCTTCACGTGTTTTCAAAGTATTCCCTGAAAAAGTGTCACTTTTAAAAATGATAGATTCTTAGAATTTGTCTGCAGAAGACTTTTGTAAATCTTGTCATACTAGATATTCTGAAAACACAGCAAAATATCGTAACACTTCCAGAGTTTTTTGGTGACGTGTTTGGTAGTGCTTTTTTTTTTATGTGGGGGTTCCTGTACATTTGTTTGCAGTCGTTGTGTGGGTTTGCACCATTTTAACAGGCCAGTACAATGGAGTGGTGCATTTTGTGTTTGGAAACGTGTTATTTAGAGGCTTCAGAACTCTCTGTAAAACAGATAGTGAAGACGTTAGGCGTCTAGCGATGTTTGCTATAGGAAACTTCATTCATTTGTGTAAAAATTTTAAGGACAGACTAATAGGGCAAGCTACAAAAAAAACAAACAAAGTCAGTAAAACAATAAGTAAGACCTGATAAAGCCATATAGTTACTAACAAAAGTTTAAAGGTTCAGAATTTCCATTCTTCGAAGTAAATTCCTGTAAAACTTTTTATGGCATATTTTTCCATCGTGCTTCAGATTAATCTTGTGGCAACAGCATAATACGAATATTCCACTATTTGTTTTAAAATAAGCATTTCAATATTTGAACTCTAAAGTTGGAAGACAGTGAAGGAGAGAAAGTTAAGACCTTGCACATAGCCAGTTTATTGCTTTGAAATTATTGACTCAGCTGTTTTCATTTGTGAAAGATTTAGGAATTGTTCTAAGCAGCATAAATCAAAACCTTGGCTAATGATGAATGAACGGAGACTGGTGTCCAAAGCACACAATGTAGGCTTCAAATGGATTTTTTTGTTGTTGTTTAGAATGTTTCCTTTAATATGTAAAGAAGTACAAAAGGATAGTAAGAAAATGGGCTTGAAAACTTGGAAAGGATCCATCTTTCTTGTTTGTCAAGACTGTTCAGACTTTTTTTCCTCCCATAGCTACTACATCTTAATTAAGTTTGCTTTCTCTAACACTTTGTCTCTTCTTTTAGCATCACCCCTTTCATTCTTTCTTACTGTGTCAGACATTTCTGAGAGTTTGTTAATACAAACACATAACTTATATTCTTTTCTATTGTTCTGGATTATTTACCAAGTCAGCATGAAGAAAGGCAAAAAGTAGAAAATAATTTATTACCAACTCTTTTGGTTTTTTATCTGTACTTTTGTCTTCTGTTTATAAACAACTTTGTTTTAATCATTGACTTGCAACTTTATCCTCCCCCCTCCTTCCTCCCAAAGAACTGTAACAAAACCCTCTATTTTCAACTTAATATAATGTTGCCTTGTATGTTGCATTTTGTGTTTATGAAATGAATCTCTATTTAGACACAAACTGCCGTTCAGTGGAGGTACAATTAACCTCCCTATCGTTCCACAAATTGTTAAAGGAAGGGATTAGTGCCTGTTACAGCAATGTCTTTGGATTTTCAGCTGCACAATTGTTTGTGCTACAAACTTTACTATATTCTGCATCAATGTATGACTCGGGTTTCTTGGTTCAGACTACTTCTACTGCTCAGAAGTACCATAAATAAAAATTTAGTTGAAACGATATACAATGATTGCTACTTACAGAAGTGCGTTGATTTACTTAGGACTTTTTACAGTGGTTTTATTGAGGTATCCATTTTCTAGTTCTAGTAATGCTAGGTCTATGCTCTGGTGTTGGGTGAGATCCAGCTTCCCTGAAATCAATAGCATTTTAGACTTTTGCTTTCTGGTAGGATCAGAATTTCAGATTAATATGTTCACAATACTCAAATTACATGCTTAGCAAAGGATCTGGTAGTACTAATTTTCTGTAACTGTAGATAACAATCTACAGAATATTTACAGCTAAACAACTGAAACATGTTCACCCCTACAACTGGAATGAGTTAGTCTCTGCTCTTAAGCAGAGTCCTTTTTAGTTCTGAGTTTCCAAAGTATAAAAAATGCCACAAAAGTGAGTTTTATATTTTACTTGTCAGGCTTAGAGAGATTTATTTCTTCACAATTGTATGTTGAGGGAGACATATGTAGAATTTGCAAATAGCTCAAAATTAAACTTGCAAGTAAAAATAACTTTAAAACTTACCACGAAAAAAAAATCTTCCAGCTGTTCTGCTTCTGTGGTAGATGGAAAATCCAGAGACCAAGTTGCTTTTTCTTCCTGTATTACCCGATGCTGTGGATTGTTAATCTGCAGTTGGAGTTGAAAACTGCTTTTGTCTTTCTCTGCTAGATCCAAGCTGCATTGAGGAATTGGGTTTCTCCATATGATAACCAAGCTAACTAATCATTTTAAAAAAAAAACAAGAAAAAGGAAAAAGTAATGTTCCAGTATGTATTATTCCAGAAAAGAGAAAGAAACGTTTTTTGAAACTGTGTTTTACTCTCATATGCAGAAGTGCACTAACCAGCTACAGCTGACCCAGATTCCATATACATCACTTTTGGACAGTTTTTTTTAAACAAACACACACTCGCCTGAGACGTTCAGCCCACCTATGATGTCACCGCAAACACACTGGGAGCAGAAGAAACTCCTCCTTCGG